ATATGTGAGCATTGGGTGTTCCGCCCCCATCCTCCCCCAAGACTTGATTGATCACAGCCATAAACCCTAATTAACATTTTAGGTTTTTGTTTCCCCCGATCAGTTAAGTTTTCATTTCCTATCTCCCTCTGCCCACATGGTGGGGCCAAGAGTGGGAATCTCCTCCTCCCAACAGGGTGCGGTTTCTCCTTCTCATAGCAGGTCCAGGTGTCGAGATGAGATACAGGAGTTGGTGGGGACCCAACGGTCTTTTTGAAGCTAGTCTGGTCGCACCCCAGCTGCTTCTTCTGGCCTTTTTGCCTCCTGCCTCCTACCTCAGGCCCCTACACTGAAAGAAGTATTGTTGTCTTGGGGATGGTCCATCAAAGCAGACTCTGTGACAGTACCTGACCCTTATGGTTGAGGATGTAGAACAAAGAGAAATCACTGGTTCTTTTGATTTGGAACTGCACTGGTTCCTGGTGACAGAATCTTGAAGAGAATGCTGACGTCCTCTGTTGATTTGCAGCCTACACAGCTGCCAGGAGGCCTAGAGGAAACCAGTGCTGATTTGTTGTTGTTGTTGTTGTTGTTGTTGTTTTTGTTTTGAGACAGGGTCTCCCTGTAGCTCCAGCTGGCCTGGAATTCGCTCTGTAGATCAGTCTGGCCTCAAACTCAGAGATCCACCTGCCTCTGCCCAGTGCTGATTTATTAACCCTTCTAGCTAACTGCAGTGCTTAGAAAGGGAGACACAGCCTGTGGGGTTCTCCGTAGGAGCAGAGCTGGCAGCCCCTGCCAGAAGCCCATTGTCACCCACCTTGGCTTCCAGAAAAGCCTGATTTAAGCACTACAATAGCAGGAGAGGGAACAAAGTCATGGTAAATCTCCCTCCTGAAAGCTGTGCTGGATGTGCCAGGATTGTACCACTGAGATCCTGTGTCAAGGTGGCAGAAGGCTTGTGAGTGCCCAGAGGTGTGCAGCAACTCCACACACCAGATTCTTGGAAAATGCTCTGCTTGCTTGCTTATGATGAGCCTCCTGTATGTTTCCACTGCTGCTGTCAATACATCACTCTCTTTGCTTTTGCCTCATTTTAGAGACTATCAAGTTAAGGTGCTAAAAACCATGTTAATGACCCAGTGAAAGCAGCATTGAAAGCTTTTCCAAAGCATGGTAATACAGGTGACATTCTGCTAGACTTAGTTGTGAGCAGGGTAAAGGGAGAGGATATAGCCTTTGTCCTTTTCTAGAAACTTACTGCAGTGCAGAATAAAATTTTCCATAGATTTCTCAGAAGAGATTTGTGGAAAAGTTGGCATAACTAGAAGTACTATCAGAGGTGTATGCTAAGTTGGAGATTGCATAGGGAAAATAAGTTTTCTACTAAATATCTTGGTTAGGTTCCCTTCAAAGTGAAACCCAAGAGAAAGATTTGGAATTCAAGGAGTTGACTTGGAAAGTGATCTGAGAAAGCAAGAGTGGGCCAGGAGGAAACCAGTAACGGTCATTTTCATGGCCATGGGGGTATGGAGGCAGATGACACTCGATTCACCCAGGACTTCTGCAAAGCATTCAGTTTCCCAGAACTGCCTATGAGGGACCTGGGTCATTTAGCTACCAGCCTTGTCCACTCTGGGGATAGCTTCAGGGCCATGGCTCCACCACACCTCCAGCAGGCAGAGCAGGAAAGTTCCAGGTGCTTGCTTTTTGTGGGGTGTTGGTGATGGGCCTAAGCTTTCCCAAGGCTGCCTACAGAGCTGTAGCTGAAGTGAGTTCCAAGTGATGTAGGGCACCACTGGGGAACCTAGACCAGGGATTGAAGGACTTAACAAAGACTTCCAGAGAGCACGGTTTCTAAGCTGAAACAGACTATCAGTGAATGACAGGACACAGGCAGAGATGAGCTCCAGATGGAAGCTGTAAGGGGTCAGAGAAGGGACATTTCAATAGAAATAAATGATTTATGCCAAAAGTGATGGCACACGCCTCTAATCCCTGCACTTGGGAGAGGCAGAAATAGGTAAATCTCTGAGTTCAAGGCTAGCCTGGTCTTCATATCGAGTTCCAGGCTAGCTGGAGCTACAGGGAGACCCTATCTCAAAAAGACCAAAACCAAAAAAATTAAAATATGATTTATGCTTTAGAAAATATGCTCTAGCCAGGTGTGGTGGCTCACACCTTTAATCCCAGCACTGGGAGGCAGAGGCAGGTAAATCTTTGTGAGTTCAAGGCCAGTCTGGTCTACATAGTGAGTTTCAGGCTGGTTGGGGCTAAGGGAGACCCTGTCTTAAAAAGACAAAAAAGAAAAGAAAGGAAAAGAAAAGAAAAGAGGGGGAGGAGGGAGAGGAAGGGGAAGGAGAGAAAAGATGCTCTAAAGGCATCATGCCAAGAGTTGGGGCTGGAGAGATGGCTCAGCAGTTAAGAATACTGGTTGTTCTTGCAGAAGACCTGGGTTTGAATCCCAGCACCCACATAGCAGCTAACAACTGTCCATAACTCCAGTTCCAGGGGATCAGACAGCCTCTTCTGTCCTCTGAGGGCATTGCACAACATGGGTGCACTTACCTACATGCAGGCAATACATGCATACACATAAAATAAAAATAATAAATAGAATATGAGGAAAAAAAAGAGGTGTAAGAGTCAGACATGGAAGTGAGATGTGGGGCAAGACACAAGTCAAGTAGACCACTCAGTGCTGCCAAAGTAGCCAGGTGAAAGATGGTAACAGTAAGGCTTAGGTCAGCAGCGGTAAGAAAGGTGAAAAGTAAAAGATTTGCATACCCCCACTCATGTAGTACCTTTGGTATGTTGTAAGTGTGTGTGTGTATGTGTGTGTGTGTGTGTGTGTGATTGAAAGGCAGTATCTGAAGAAGAAGGTTCAGAAGATGTGAATTGAAAGCTTACAAAGATCAGTTTAGAGTTATCTTTTTGTGACAGGGTCTCTCTATGTATCTCTGGCTGGCCTGGAACTCAGATCTACCTGCCTCTGCCTTTTTAATCCCAAGGCTGGGATTAAAGATGTGCATCACCACTCCCAGCCCAAACTGTTTTTTAGTACATTTTTAATTTAAGCTTTGGGACTTTTCATACATACATACATCTATCTATCTACCTATCTATCTATCATCTATCAATCTAATCTATACACAGTGTGTTTTGATCCAGTGTAGAGTTATCTTAAGCAAAGTAAAATAGCTGCCAGAACAGTCGCTGAGGCAGCTTCTCATCTTAGAGATAAGACATCATTGTGTACTGACTGCACTGTAGTTCTGAGGCTTCACTTTGTCCTGGATCTGCATTTTCTATTGCTGTGACCTTTTTTGTATTGTTTCACCTCACTGAACTTTATCCAGTTCAACATGAAGATGATGTTGCCTGCTGGGCCTGTTCTGAGTTGATCTAAAGCCCAGTGTGTGTAGTGAGGTATGAACTAGACTGGGAAGCTACCATCATCTGGACCACTGTTGACAGAATGAGAATGTTAGGGACAGTTGTACCACCCTAAGTCTTATGTTTCATATGAGCACCAGCCTGTTGGCCTACCCCGGAGCACAGATAACCAGATAGCCACAGTTAGAGGTTCCTGGTTTCAGAATGGGTTGGGGTGATACTAGGTCCTCTCCAGCAGGCCATAAAGCACCATCAGTTGCGAAAGTAGCTTTGAGGGCCCTGGGAAGACAGCCGTGCAGTGTTCATACATGGTACTCCAGTATTGTGACTCTTGTATATCTCTATGAAGCAGAAAACAACTTCCAGTTTCATGCTGGTAGACAATTCATTTTTGTTTCATAAAACCAAAAGCTCGCCGGGCGTGGTGGCGCATGCTTTTAATCCCAGCACTGAGGCAGAGGCAGGCGGATCTCTGTGAGTTCAAGGGCAGCCTGGTCTATGTAGTGAGTTCCAGGCCAGCTGGGACTACAGGGAGACCCCGTCTCAAAAAGACCAGACAAACAAACAAAAAAACAAACAAAAAGCTAAGCTGGCAAGGTGACTCCATGGATAAAGGAGCTTGCCACCCAGCAACGCAGGCCTAGCAATCTGCACTTAATCCCCAACACCCTTGGAATCCATGTAAAGGTAGAAGGGGAGAACTGACTGCACAAAGTTGTCTTCTGATCTGTACTGCTGAGCCATGGCAAACACATGCCCTCCCCTGTAACAATAAAGGCTTTTTCCTTCTGGAGTGTCTTCTTCTCATGGCACCTTCCTGCAAGCTCTAGCTGCCTTCTGTTTTTCTTAGTTAATTCTTGTAATATTCACCAGAAACATTTGACCTGCTAAGACTTGAATTTGGGCCTGTGGGGTTTCTCCTACAGCCCCTGATAGATAGCATCACCAGCAAGTAGAGCACAAGCTGTACGTTCTCTATTTTCAGGGTGAGGAATGCTCTCTACCTCCTGGGGAAAACCAGGCCCCAACTCTCGAAAATTAAAAGGCAACCGCCTTTAAAAGGCCCTTTTATGTGCAGTGACTTCTTGCTCATCAGTGCTGGTAACTGGTTCTTACTCTGTGAGTCCCCTGGGGCTTCGAAGCACAAATGATGGCAGTGATTCACAGTGGCCAGCACTTAACGGTACCTTGGCCGTTTACTAGATGCTATTTTAGCCCTTTACATGGAAGTTACCCCACCATCCATGAGTAAGCACTCATTGTACATAAGGAAGCGAGGCACATGTACTTGAATGACTGACCTTGAGTCATTTGGGCAGAACTGGAATTTAGATCTCTACATGTGATGCCAAAGCCTTGCCTGAGCACCACCATTCTCCCTCCCTCCCTCCCTGCAAGCAAAGACCTGCCACATAGCACACAGAGCTTGGAAAGGGTGAGGGCTTCCTGTCAGCTGTGCACGTTAGACAGGAAAAGTATGTTAGAATTCTGTCCCACACAGGGAAGAAAATGCCTTGGGAACAAGCTTGGCTTCCGGTAAGATAAATGGCTCCAATCCAGGAAACTCTGTGTCCATCCAAAAAAACTTAAGAGACCAGAATTCTTATGTTCATTTTCTCTTTACTTAGGATAAAAAGATCAAGTGGCATGAGCAGCCTTCTGGGGAAAATTGGAGCCAAGAAACAGAAAATGAGCACCCTTGAGAAGTCCAAGTTGGACTGGGAGAGCTTCAAGGAGGAAGAAGGAATTGGTGAAGAATTAGCCATCCATAATCGAGGGAAAGAGGGGTAAGGAGTTGACTGTGTTCCTTTGATATCCTCAGTGAAATGATTTGTTGCAAAACAGTTTAAGCAAACAGGAACTTTCACGATGAAATGAAAATTCTAAGTGCTTTGGTTATCAGTGCAGCTCTGTTCTAAAGTGGGGCAGATCTCATCAGTGAGGAAGCCATTGGGGGTGAAGGAGAGGAGGGTGCCTGAGCAGCAGTAAACCCCAGTAGTCAGTTCTGCCCAGCTGAGTTTGCTGAATTACGGCTCCACTGAACTGTAGGTCACCCAGTTTATTCACATGATTGGGTCTGGCCTAATGCACATGGTAGCAGGCTTGGCCTAATCTGAATTCATTTGTCCTCTGAGAAGTCAGGTTAATTCAGATGCTTCAGAAGCAAAGAGCGCCACCTGAATGTTGAAATTGTCACATTGTCATGAGTGGTTTTCTGGGGGTTTTTTGGTTTTTGGTCCATGTCACTGTGGTCCAGAGTGAGGTCTCATCCTCTGCTACACTCTGTACGATACGCCAGTTTCTCAGACAGCATGCCCGGCCATTGCTATCCCTTCCTGCTCACTTTGGAATATAAAGAGGATATCCATAAAATGTATTCCGTTATAAAAATGATCCCTTTTCTTGTTATGTTTTTTGTTTTGTTTCCTAGTGGGGGAATTGAGAAAAGGTCATATCGTTAGCTCAGGCTGGCCTTACGATCATGCTAATCTTCCTGCCTCAGGTCTCCCAGGTGTTGGGATTATAGGCATGAGCCACTACACTCAGTTCTCATGTGTGTTTTCTTGATGCATGAAAAAGTAGAAAGAGGAGCAGGAAAAAAGATGGCAGCAGTTAAGAGCACTCACTGCCCTTCCAGAGGACCTGGGCTCTGTTGCCACTGGGTCCTTATTTAGGGAGGTCAGGAGAAACTAAAGTCAGTATTCCCTACCCCTAAACAACCCTGTTCCTCACCAGCACAATCTCCTCTTTTAACATAGTTGTTAGCTCTGCCACTCAGCTACTTTGCCAGTAAAACTGGCAAAAAAATTAAAAAATTAAAAAAAAAAAAAAAACCACTCTGTGGTTACCAGTCTCATGAAATAACATGTGGTGTATGTATTACTTACACATATGTAATACGCATAAAGCACTTTGAAGAACACCTATCAAGTAAAGGCCTAGATTAATAATTCAAGCTATCAGTACAATAAGGCCTTAAAATTACTTGAACCAAGCTAGCAGCATATTTTTAAGATTATATTTATTGTAGGAGAGGGCCTGCATGCCATGTCACAAATGTGGAAGTCAAAGGACAACTTAGGGGAGTCACTTCTTGCCTTCTACATGTTGGTTCCAGGGACTGAACTTAAGTTTAGGCTTGCCGTGCCGTCTCATCAGCCATGGAAGCATATTTCTGAATATGCCTTAGCATCTTTAAAATCAACTTTGGGGGCTGGAGAGATGGCTCAGCGGTTAAGAGCACTGATTGCTCTTACAGAGGACTAGGATTCGATTCCCAGCACCCACATGGTGGCTACAAACCATCCTTAACTCCAGTTCCAGGGGAATTCAAAGCCTCTTCTGACTTCCATGGCTTTGCATGACACGGGTGTACTCACATACATTCAGGCAATACACTCATACACATAAAATAAAAATTTAAAAACAAAAAAGTCTTTATGAGCTTGCTTAACTACCAGATCCTGGTCAGTCTCTTTTTTTGTCTTTTTGAGACAGGGTCTCCCTGTAGCTCCAGCTGTCCTGAACTCACTATGTAGACCAGGCTGGCCTTGAACTCAGAGATCCGCCTGCCTCTGCCTCCTGAATGCTGGGATTAAAGGCATGTGCCACCACACCTGGCCTTGGTCAGTCTCTTAGCTGTTCACTTTTGCACAGGGATCTAAAGCAGTAGGGGAAGGGCCAGTGTGTAACACACTGGATTGCTTCTCTTGAGTATTGATTATATGGATTGAACAACATTCACTCTGCTTAAGCAAATAGAAGTCTTGTAAAAGTAAGCATGGGGTGGGGTGTTGTTGGAGATAAGGGAATGTTAATAAAATTCAGGGTGAGAGGGAAAACAAGATTTAAGAAAGACATCTACCCAATGAGTACTTTTCAAGAAATGGGAAATCATGTAACTGGGTTGGAGATACTGCTCAGTTGGTAGAGTGTTTGCCTAGCATGCATGAAACACTGGGTTCAGTCCCTAGCACCACATAAATCGGGTGTGGTGGTGTACACCTGTACCCCACACTTGGGAGGTAGAGGCACGAGAATCAAGTTCAGTGTCATCCTTGGCAACATTAGGAGTTGTAGGCCAGCCTGAGAAGAGAACAAGCCAGACAAAAAGAGCCCTAAGAGGATGGCAGGGTACGTTGAGCACGAAAATGCTGAATGTTCCAGGTAAAAATCAGATTAAGCCAGGCATGGCTGGTACACATCTTTAATTCCAGCACTCAGGAGGCAGAGGCAGGTGGATCTCTGTGAGATCTAGACCAGTCTGGTCTACATAGTTCCAGACCAGCTGAGGCTACAGGGAGACCTTGTCTCAAAAAGATAAACAGGCTGGGTGTGGTGGCGCACACCTTTGATCCCAGCACTCGGGAGGCAGAGGCAGGTGGAGCTCCGTGAGTTCAAGGCTAGCCTGGTCTACATAGTGAGCTCCAGGACAGCTGGGGCTACAGTGAGACCCTGCCTCAAGAAAAATGACAAAAAAAAAAAAAAAAAAAAAAAAAAAAAAAAAGATAAACAGAAAAAAAATCAGAGATGAACAGATTGGATTTTTTTTTAAATGTTTTAAAGAGATTTATGTGAAACATGGGATGAAGGAGTATTGAAAATAAAAAGATGGGAAAGAATTGTGCAAGTACTAACCAAAAAACCTGATATAGTGACGTTCATATTAGATAAAATAGATTGTAAGGAGAAAGCACTGCTGTTAAAAAGAAGGCTGTCTGCTTATGTAATAAACATCCCCATTTGTCTGAGGAGCAGAATGCTCTAAGTTGGAATGTGCCACTTAGCGGTGCATGCGCCAGCTCCCTATGCTCAGTCAGCAGTTCCTCTCCTCTGCCTCTCCTCCTAGCAGAAGTTCAGATATGTATTGACAGTATAAACAATATCCAAAAACTAGAAAGAAGTCAAAGGTTTGTCAACAATGTAACAGTTAAATAGAATGTGATCTGTCCACACAGTGGACAGCAATGGAACGAACATAGATAAATCATAGCATGAAAACACAAAGGATGACATGCTATGACTCCATTTATATGAAGGTCAGAAACAGTCAAAACCAATGTCTCCATTAGGTCAGTTTTTGAAAGAAGCAAATCACAAAAGAATACACAGGCTATAATTCTATTTATATCAGAATAAAAAATAGGAACTGAGTAGGTAGATCTCTGTGAGATGGAGGCCAGCCTGGTCTAGTGAGTTCCAGGCCAGCTAGGGCTACAGAGAGATCCTGTCTCCAAAAAACAAAACAAAAGAAACAAAAAGGGAACAACTGAAGTTTGTTGTTGAAGATACAAAAAATTGAAAGCAGGACTGTAGAGATGGCTCAGGGGTTGAGAGGACCAGCATCCAGTTCCCAACACTCAGGTCACGGGGCTCACAGCTGCCTGTAACTCTAGCTTCAGGGAATCTGTTGTCCTTCTCTGGCTTCCCTGGGCATCTGCACTCATGGGCACATACCCACACACGTATATCTAATTAAAAATATTTCACGTTGATTTAGTCGGGGGGGAGGGAGGAAGGGAGGCAGAGAGAGAACAGTACACATGTGGGGTCAGTTGGTTTTCTTCTTTCACCATGTGGGTCCTGGAAATTGAACTCAGGTTGTCAGGCTTAGCAGCAGGTACCTTTACCTCTGAGCCATTTCACCTACCCCCCTAAAAAACTTTTTATTATTTATTTTGGTCCTTTTGAGACAGGGTCTCTCTGTAGCCCCAGCTGACCCGGAATGCACTATGTAGACCAGACTGGCCTTGAACTCACAGAGATTGGCCTGCCTCTGCCTCCCGAGTGCTGGGATTAAAGGTATGCAGACACCCGGCCCCAAAATAAATCTTTTTAAAAACATCTTTTGAGAGCAGCCAAGCACAATGATTCATACTCGTAAATGCTAACACTCAGAATTAAACAGGAGGATTACCAAGAGATTCAAACCAGTCTGAACTATAGAGTGAGAACCTGTTTCAAAAATGAAAAAAAAAAAAAAGTACCATAAAGATAAGACTCAACAGATAAGAGCATTGCCTGCTTTTACAGAGGACCCAGGTTTGGTTCCCAGCACCTGCACGGCAATTCACAGCTGTCCTTAACACCAGTTCCAAGGGATTCGAGGGCACTCTTTTGGCCTCTGAGGACATTACAGGCATATGGTACACTTAAATACATGCAGGTAAAACACATAAAATATAAATAAGTAGCCAGGAATGGTGGTACATGCCTTTAATCCCAGTACTGGGTAGGCAGAGGCAGGTGGATCTCTGAGTTCAAGGCCAGCCTGGTCTACATAGTTGCACTCCAGGCCAGCTGGAGCTGCAGGGAGACCCTGTCTCATAAAGACCTCTGTGTGTCTCTGTGTGTGTGTGTGTGAATAAATAAATAATAAATAAAATTAGGGCCCCAGAAAGGATTGGGGGCTGAGCACAAGGAAAGAATACCCGGCTTTGCTCAAACTCATACTGACTGGACTTGCGGATAAGCATTGAGCAGAGGCCCCTCAAGCCTGGCAGCCTTCTAGCTTTTGTTTTGTTTTTAATTTTATTTTGTGTGTGTTGAGTGTTTTGTCTACACGTATGTAAGTGCACTCATGCAGGCAAAGGCCGGAAAATGGCATCATCCCCCTGGAACTGGTGGTGTGGATGATTATAAACCACCATGTGGGTGCTGGGAACCAAACCTAGGTACTCTTAACCATTGAGCCATCTCTCCAGCTCTAAACCTTCTAGTTCTTGACTTGGTACTAGTCACAGGAATGCTTGCTTTGTGCCTACTCTGGTTTAGTCCCAGCCGTCCT